ATGCAGGGAGGTATTGGTCAATGCCATTGATCAGGATGTGTGCTAGGAGTTGAACTTGGAACCTTTATGTCTGTTTAGCTGTAATTTGGGTAATGCACCAATATCAATGGGCCATTCAGAGGAATTTTCCCCTCAGTTGTCATGAAAAAAATATTTTAAGGAAAAGGAAAATGATAACAAAAAGTACCCCTATTTCCACATCAGCTTGCCCCAACTGGATGTTCATGAGGACACAACTATTAGCCATTCACAGAAGCTTCCTGACACTGTTGCACCAAGGGGAACTTTAACTCTAAAAATATAAGTTTAGATTAAGTGAGATATTAGCATTTTAAAAAAAGACTAGCTATAAATCCAACCTGTCTTGAGCCTTCCCACTTGCAGTTTGAAGAGAGATGGACTATGTTGTATCAGTCTCCTAGGAGCTAAGCTGGATATTTTAATATGGTATCACTGTTTGTGATTTAAGACTGGCAGGCCTGGCCTCACCCTAATCTTAGGAAACACAACAGTGCTGTGTGAAAGTGGTGGATGATTTTCCAGCATGGCTTGCGGACCAGTAAGAGCAGGAGTATTTGATCCCAGTTCTCCTCCTACACACCTCGACCCCTGCCAAGTGAGCCTGTTTCACTCACCTCTAGCCCTCTCACAATCAGAGAACCCTCCCATGATCTGTGACCTCCCCCTGCACTGGATACCTCACTTGAGTTGTGAATTCCCTCCTATTACAAACTTTAAATTCTTAAGCTTATTCACCACTCCCTTCCCCAACAACTGTGTGAAACCTGTTGGGGAAAAAGAACGCAACCATTATATCAAAAGGGAAATTATTCTACTCAGTGATTAGCCCTGCTGCCTCACATTGCCAGGGACCCAGGTTCAATTCCACCCTCAGGCGACTATCTGTGTGGAGTTTCCACATTCTCCCCAAGTTTGCATGGGTTTCCTCCAGCTGCTGCAGTTTCCTCCCACAGTCCAAAGATGTGCAGCGTCGGTGGATTGGCCATGCTAAATTGCCCGTAGTGTTAAGGGACGTGTAGATTAGATGGTTATAGAGGGATGGGTCTGGGTGGGATGCTCTGAGGGTTGGTGTGGACTTGTTGGGTCTTTTATATGCCTATTGAATGTAATAAATATGTTAAAATATGTTAAATATCTGTTGCTATATTCTACAAACCATTAAGAGTAACATTGTTAAATAAATCAGTCCATTTGTAAAGGTCATATAATAGAGGGCCCTTTGTATGAGATGCTTCTTCTGACATTAATGGCCTGCTTTGACTGCCCAGGAGTTCTAAATGATTCAAATTGATTCCATCTGGCAAATGGTGCAGGCCTTGGATCTGGTAGTACAACTGCTGACTCAGAGTCTGAAGGTAGTAGGTTCAAGTTCTGTTCCAGAGGCTTGACCAGAAAAATTGAGGCTGTTAATCCAGAACAGAGCACTGTTCTGGAGGTCTATCAGTCATATACACATCAAAGATCTTGTAGCACTATTTTGAAGAAGAGAAGCAGTGTTATCTTTGACATCTATTTCTCAGTCAACATTGCAAAAAGAACAGAATAACTGGTCATTATCCAGAATGCTGTTTGTGGGCCCTTCCCATGCACAAAATTGGCTGCTGTATTTATGTTACAGCAATGACTTCAAGAATAAGTCATTGCCTATGGTAATATCCTGAGGCTGTGAATGGCACTATATAAATGCAATTTCTTTTTCACATCATTTAACACTCATGACTTTTAAAAAAAAACTATATTTGCTGCTATTCCAAGCACTGTTGAACTATTTAATGATTGGATACTTGTATGAAAGATATTTGTCTAATGATTTAAAGCTTTTAATGTACTTTTTCATTTATTTTCTGTGCTTATTCTTCAATATCAGCAGTTTCTTCGAATCACTTTGCCATGAATGAAAGCCAAATTTTGTTACAACCGTGAGTTAATGTATATTTCCAGTTTCACACCATTTTGGGAAACTATTTGGCTCATGCTATTTTAAATCCATCAGTCTAAATTATAACTTGCATGAAATCGGGTTAAAATCAATTATCTGAAGTGTTGGGTTGTCAGGCCAATATCACGCAATAATTAGGCTGGTTAGATAGTGGCCTACAGAGAGGTCTTGTGTGACAAACTAATAAAGAGGATGGTGACAGGGGACGTTGTTGACAGTAGATTCAAGAAACTGTGGGGCAAAAAATTAAATGAGTCAGGGAGATTCCGCAGAAGTGTGAAGATGATAGCAAGGACCCAGTTCTGTAATGAATGTTACTAACCCTTCCCCCTCCCACAACCCCCAGCTCCTTAGCCTCCAGACCAAACTAAGTGCCCTCAGCCCACAACCTTCTTCATTGAACCTCACACTCCTCATGCAAAATAATTCCCCTCAATTGGCCATATGGCCCCTTCATCTGCTCTATGTCAAGCTACACGATGTCCATACCCATTTATCAACTATACACTCTGTACAGAACAGATTATATAAATAACCTTGTTCTAAATTGATATCAACATTGCAATCATTCTCACTTTTAAGGTATAAATATATATCTGTGTAACTAAACATTGTCCAATTGATAGAATAGATCATAGAGAAAGAGCTGACAATCAAGCACTATATACCCCTTGGAGCAAAGCTTGTTCAACTGACTAATAGATTTATTGGCTGTCAGCCAAGACTCAGTATATGTTCTTGAATAATTGGGCTGGAGGAAAGTTTAGCATCCACTGTCTGGGGTGAGCTTCACCAGTAGTTTAAAGGGTGGAGGTGGTGGGGGATGTGGTTCTGGTTGGCAGGGAGTCAATGGCAGAGATGTGGGGTGTGATGGTTGCTAGTAGAGCACTTGCAGCAAAGGCAGACAAAAGCCATTATAACGCTTCCTTGTAGAAGAGAGAGGGCAGCACATCAGAAGTGGCCAGATGGCCAGCTGAAATGTATTCTGCTGAATCTAGAGCAAGATCTCCTGCTTAATAAAAATTTCTCAACATTTAAAAATGGGCTGTTAATTTCTGCATGTTTTGAACATGACAGCTGTTTGCAAAAGTACACCAGACTTTGTTTTGGTGATGTACAAAGTAGAAATCATCTTCTCACCTTCTGCAGCCTATTAGTGATCTGCAGGCATTTAATAGGCTGTTAACTGGAGGTGATTGTGTTTTCAACTACCAACCTTCTCCCACCCTGTTTGATGAGGGAGTATCAAAGTTCACAGAGTCCTGTTCTAGACTTCATGGGCAATTCAAGATCCAAGTCATGGCCTCTTCTATTCCAGAAGTTCACTATCCAAGCAAGTCATAAAATACCTTGTTAAAAATGTAATCACAAACTAATATTTCGTGGCAACATCCTTAGAAGAATTTTTTTTTAAAGTAAGGAATGCAGGGAGCATTTGATGACCTTGTAGGGAATGAAGAGATTGGGGAATTGATAGGATGAGAGGAATAATGAGTTAGTGCAATGACCAAAAATGACTTGCAGTTTTTTTGCTAGTGGGCAGTCTGCAGCACTTCAGAAGATCAGCATGGATTAGTTGGCATTATTAGGAACTTATTGGCATCATGAAAATATTTGTTCATGCAGCAAATGGTTAGGGTCTGGGGCACACTGCCCAAGAGTTTGGTGAAGGCAAATTCAATCAAAGTATTCAAAAGGAATTTGCTGGTTGTTTGAAAAGGTAGAATATGCAGGATTCTAGGGAAAAAGTGGGAAAGTTACTTGAGGTGATTTTCATTTCCCACTGTGGACATAATGGGCCAAATGGCCTTTTTTGTGCTGGTAAAATCCTGTGATTCAGTATTATGAATTCAAAAGTTTATACATGTAAGTGCACTAGTGGAACACACTCCAGTCAATTTGATGCAAGAAGAAGCTTTTGAGGTTCTTATGTGTTGATTATCATTCTAAATGGTCTGGCCAGCTGATTTAAGGAGCATGCTACAAGTACAAAGTGGCAGATCCCAGGGGAACGATATTGCAATCTCAGTCACAATGCGACATTACCCACACTTTTGAGGGGTGCTGAGATAACAAGGTGTAGAGCTGGATGAACACAGCAGGCCAAGCAGCATCAGAGGAGCAGGAAGGCTGACGTTT